TCTATGGAGGATCAGCTGCTGAGTCCCAGTTTCTAGCTCTTTTGAAGGTCAGCTACAGTAAAAACAAAAAATCAAAACCAGTCCATGGGTCACACCATGTCTACCTTAGATGAAAGAACACAAACATAAGTTGCATTTTACTAATTTATTGAGCAATTGTTCCTTTAAACAGTGACATTACTGACATGTTTTAAATTGTTTAAACAAACAAACAAAAACAAAAAAAGAAAAATAATGTACCAAGCAAGAGAACAAATAAAAATGTTTAAATGATTATACATTGGACTACATCCTCAAGAAGTTCAGTCTATGTGGTCGAGGTAACGAGCTTGTTTGGGTGAAGCATGACGTCGTGCATCTTACCAGACTTCAGAGCATCATTTACAGACTGTATCATTGCAGGTCTGGTGTTCCACCTCATCTCTCCACAGCTGGACCAGTCCAGAGCCTTGCGTCACCTAAAATTGAAAGAAGACAGTGCACGAGTCAAAACAGGGTTACCATGACTACAAATTACAATTTGTTGGCCTTTCTTTTGGAAAAAAAATATTTATCAAAAACAAGAGATTTACAATTGAAATTAAGTTAAAAAAAAGGTGACCTTAGCAATTATAAATTACAGTAGCTCAATTTTTCTTTATTTCACTTATCATATTTTATAATTACTTAAAACAGCCTCACCAGGCAGAGCTTACAAGATTTTATGTATCTTATCTGTGAAATATAATTTTATCAGATAATATATTAACTTAATGAAATGTCTAGATATATGTATCCCGTTTTGATATTTTGAATGATATTGTGTTAAAAACATGATCTGATTCCGTTTGTCGATGTTGGTGACGACTCCAGGAGGTGTGGCCGAGCTCTGAAGAAGATGGGTTGTCTGTTTACGTTCGGGGCCATTTGTTCGTGACCGCATGGTTGAGTTACAATGGCCCAGGGCTGGTGATTTTGTACTTTACATGTAAAATAAACCCTCTGAAATGGAAGACAATTGCTCCTCCTCTCCCTGCTTCAGAACAGAACACGTTCTTACACCTGCTCTTTTGAAGTGTGTGACGAGGGTCTTTGTGTCCAAAGCTGTTTAACAGCTTGCTTCCAGAGCTAACAGCTTCCTGTGTTAGGTAGAAAAATTAAATTAAATTAAAGACAAACAAAAAGCATAGTGCTACTTCTTGTGCCATGCTTTCTAAAACAGTTATTGAATAAATGATTTACTTATGTAGGTAAACATAGATGTTTTAAAACCTGTTAAAATACACCAGAATGCAGGAAATGGCAGCTGCTTTATACAAAAAGTTATGGGGGAGGACCCACAGACCTCACACCAATGTCCCCTCTACAATAATTCTAATGCTAATACCCATGGTGTGGTTCAAGCCAAGAGCCATTGTCAACACTGGGGGGCTAAGGCCCCTACAAAGGGCTTCTAGAATCGCCCCTGGTGTGAAAATATGAACTCTTGGCCTAAAATTTAACACAACATACACATCATATCTTAAATCTAAATCTAAAACAGTTATTATTATGTATATGCAACCAGCCTTTCATATAAAAACTGGGATATTTTTACTGGAGAATGCTTTCACTAACGAGTTTGTTGTACTGACATGGTTACAGCAGACAGTAACTATTTACGCAATAAAGTGATTATTATTCACGTTTTCCTCGAATTCAGTATCCTTTAGGACGTCACAATATAAAAATAGGAATATTTTTACCGGAGAATGCGTGCACTTTAACCAGGAAGAGTTTGGTTGTTTTTTTTACATTACAAACAGCGACAGATAATGAAGATTTTAACCTAAAAACCCACATAACAAAGCAGAGCATAATTTTTAAATTAAAAGGGACAAGGTGGAGAAAAATGCGCTGTTTCAGTTTGTTTATTTACTGACAGTAAACAAAGTCCGACTCCCACCGCAGCTCTTCACATCTGAGGCTAAACATTTGAAGTAGCACAGCACCAACACAACTCTCGTGAATTTCAGGGTTATTTGACATGTTCCTGCCCGTTCTGTGAGTTTAATAGACAGACGGCTACTTCTTGCATTGCAAACTATTTCAGTCATTCGGTTTCTTTGGAGACTTGGCTGTTCCTCCCACCCTCTCGGTTAAAAGCTACTGTGTTTTGACTTCTGGGAAATGCAGTTCTTTTGACTTGTGTTAAAGTGAAGGCTTACTGAAAGAGAAATACAAAATAGCTGCGCCGTTTGTTTTTTGTTTCATTTTCACTTTTGGTTAATGGTCGGTTCCCGCTCCTGTCTGCTCCTGTTAGCTTTCAGTCCAGTCACGTGAGTTATAATGAGGTTGACTCCGGTCCCGCCGGAATCCAGCCAGAATCACGTGACCCGCAGTACTCCCGAAAAAAAGTCATCCTCTAGTGATCAGCCAAGAGAAGTTTTCTTCTGAACTCAGGCTGGAGAAAGAGAAAACTGAGGCTCTCCAGCGGCTGCTGGATGAAGCCAAACTGGTAAACGATGAAATGAGCAACAAATGCCAACTGCAAGTTGCCTGACTTCATCAGCAGGCTGTGACATTACAAGATCAGGTCATAGAAAAAGAGCGCCAGCAGGATCTTCTGAAAGCGACCATGGACAAGGAGATCCGGGTTCTGCGTAAGGTCACAGAGGACGCAGAGTCGAAACTGAAACAAGAGCTGGAACTAATATCAACATCCTACGACCAACTCAAAGTCAGCAATGGCTTGGATGTTGAGGCACTTAAAGTCGTGTCAAAAACGTTTTTAAGTCAGCTCAACGAAGAGATTCAGGCTTCGGTCCAGACCAAATCCCTGCCCGAGATGACCGAGGTTCAGCCCAGAGAGACGAAGAAATCATTCTGGGAGAAAACACGTAATTTCTTTGGTCTCAGAAAGCCTGACGGAAGAAAAATAAAAACGCTTCCGACTAAAAGCTCTTCTCCCCCTCCCCAACCCCACGCCACACAACTTTACAACACAGACTATCCATCCATCCATCCATTATCTTTACCCGCTTATTCCATTTTGGGTCACGGGGGTTGCTGGTGCCCATGTCCAGCAATCACTGTGTGAGGGGCGGGGTACACCCTGGACAGGTCGCAAGTCCATCACAGGGCCACATAGAGACAAACAACCATTCACTCTCTCACTCACACCTAGGGACAATTTAGAGTTACTAATCAGCCTAACATGCATGTTTTTGGTCTGTGGGAGGAATCCGGAGCACCCGGAGAAAACCCACGCATGCACAGAGAGAACATGCAAACTCCACCCAGAAGGCCCCTGGACCAGGGTTTGAACCAAGGACCTGCTCGCTGAGAGGCAGCAGCTCTACCAGTTGCACCACCGTGCTGCCCCCAACACAGACCAGTGACTTTAAATTTGTTTTTTATCATTGTTTTGAAAAAAAAACAAGCAGCACGGTGACGGCAGCCAATTCTGTAACCGTTGTGCTGTGTGGATTTTTCCACCAGAAACTCCAGTTACCTGCATGAGATAAATGAGAAAACTTAAATCACACCAAGTTTGTGAGACATTTTGAACAATGGGAACAAAATTGAGCTTGAGTTTTCACAAAGGGGCTATAAAGGTACTGCAATGTAAATAGTCTAAAACTTATATTTATTTTTAAATATGTGGTAAAAAAAAATTGATCACTAACTGAACAACTTCTTTATTATTCTCGAGTGTTTCATAGATTTTCTGCAGACGTAACTCCAGTGACCTCTACTGGAAACAGCAAAAACATTAAAATATTGCCAAAGAGCAACATTTGGAATGATTTGCACTTCTGTACAGTGATGAACAAGTTGACAGATGAGGTCAGGCAGGAGTAATGCCTATGGCATTAGGATCTGTAGTGACAGTAGAGAGCAGGTGGAAGAGAGCCTGGTGAGGTGGAGATAAGCTCCGGTGAAAAGAGGAATGAAGCCAAGATAAGCAAGACAGGATACATGTGCAAATGGAGGGAAGACGGGCACAGTGTGAAGCAGAATAAGAAACAAAAGAAAAACTGAGCAGATCAGAGGGACAACTCAGGTTGAGCAGCTTGGAGACAAAGTTAGAAGCAAAGCTGTCATATAAATTTAATAGATATGTTGGATGCATTTAGAACTGCCATGAAACTGGTTCAGATGAAATAATTTAACTTTTTTTGTGTTATCTACCTGGATGATTGAGCCTACAAATCTTTTTTGCCATGAAGGACGGAGAGGAAGACCACAGAGGTGGTTCAGGGATGTGAAGCAGGATATGCATGGTTGGTGTGACAGAAGGGAATGTAAGAGATAAAGTGAGACGGAGGCAGATTGAAAGAAAACATCTTAAATACTTTGTAATTTGTATAGTTTTTATTTTAACTGGATACAAATACCCAAGTAGTAAAATACAAGATACAAGATAAAACCGAACCGAAAACAAATCATTAACTTTTTAGAAAATGTGATGTAGTCTTCAGACAATTCATCCCTTCTGATCTACAGAACCCAAAACTCACTTTAAATTTTGAATTGCAGCAGCAAGACTGAAAAATGTAACAGCTCAACAAATTAAAAACAGTTTTTCATTACGCATGAAAAAAATATATATATATTGCAAAATAGTTGCGTAAATGGAAATTCAGTAATGAAAGGACACCCAAACCTGACTACTCAGATAACGTACGGAAGATTGTTTGAAAAATGGATTCATCACTTTGTCAATAATTTTCGTTGAAGCTTTTACTTGTGTGCCGTCACTCTGTTTTCCTTTTCTTCTGGAACATGTCCAGAATAGATGGAGTGCTGCGCTTCACACCTAAAAAGAAAAACAATCAAAAAGATTTATTTAAAAAGCAAAACTTTCTGCAACTATGATTCATTCTATAGGATAAAAAAAAAAAAACATACAATTTTATTAATGTGGACATTTTTGACAATACCTTGTTTTTTCACTGGTGACTGAGCTGGTGACCTCCTAGCATAAGCTTCCTTCATCCTCTGAATGTTTTTCTTGTGGACCACTTCATGCTTTACAATTGGATAAGGGTAGTCTTTACCCACAATGCATCCTGCTGCCTGTTGGACACAGCGTGGGGCTTTCCAAGGCTCATAAATGTACTCCGCTGGGTACTTTTTCAGACGAGGAATGTACTTTCTGCAGAAATAAAAGTCAAATTTAGTTTGTATTTTTAGTATTTTCACACTGAGTTTTGCGAGGTTACGATCTTACTTAATGTAGTCTCCATATTTGTCTGTCTTCTTGCCGAATGCGACGGGAGAGTAAACCCTGAAGAACTGGTGGAAAAAGGTGCTTGCCGACAGCCACTGCCAGTTTCCAGCATTCAGAGCCCAGTCGCCATCCAATAAGAGCTCCTCAAAGACCTTTAGGAGGAGAAGACAAAGCAGTCTGAAACTTTGTGTTGCAAAGGATCAGATTCTGTACTTAAACAAACAAGCTTATAAACACACCTTCTGCCCTTCTTCCCAGCTGATCCACAGGTCTCCTCTGGTGAGGAAACAAGCGACAGCGTGTCTGGCCAAGTGGTGTATCCAGCCCTCCTGTCTCAGCTGAGTCATGATGGCATCAATGAAGGGATATCCAGTGCGAGCCTTAAGGAAAATTACTAATTATTTGCAATGAAGAGCACAATATTCTCCTATAGTAGAAGTGTATTCCACAAATTCATCAATTTAATCTCAGTACCTCTCTCCATGCAGCTAAATATTCGGCTTTTGTGTCCCAGTCCACCTGCGTACACACGGGGTTGCCCTCCATCTTGTTAAAATTTGGGATCCCCACACTGGCAGTGTAGAAGAACTCTCTCCAGAGCAGCTGACCATGAAGGGAAACCGGAGGATCTGAGTGCTTTTTCTGCACACGTCAGAATTTAGATGAGATAATCTGTTATATCATCCGTTGTACAGCTTTGTGTCGTTATGTCTACACATGCACAGTGAAAGTTACGCTCACCCCCTGATAGACCTCTGCAATTCTCCACCAGAAGGTTCTTGCTGACAGGCAACCAAAGGTGACGTATGGGCTGAGAACAGTGGTGCTGGGGCTCAGAGAGTTTGGGGAAGTTTGTGGCTTCTCAAAACTGCACACCCATCCCTGATTTAAAGAAGCGCATAAAACATGTTGTATTTACAATGTTGTATTGTAAATTGTCATGATTATTGTCCTCATGGGCTTGCCATAAAATAGATGGATGTGACGTATATTCAGTGTATATGCTACGAGCCTGCAATAAACAGACCCGAGCTCGTGAAGCAGTGATAATTGCCTTTTTATAAAGATAAGTACAAAATATCACATGGTGTCAGAAGCGGGATTGTTTATATCGAAGAGTGGTGTACATCTGCCTTTTTTTTTAACATCTGTGTTTAAAACACAACTTTGCGAAGCTATCTCTTACTCTCCAGATGCAGGGCAGAGGAACCTTGCAGCATCCCTCCGGAGCCTCATGAAGAGGCATTCAAAGACATGTACCACAGCACCGGAACATACATTGTAAAACTCAAACCTATATTTGCCAGGTACAAAATATTACAACATCCGTCAAAGCAAGTCAGTGTAACTCAAACTTCACACATGGCTACTACAGCTTGTAAACTTCTCTTCAGCAGTGAATTTCTCAGATTCAATCTAATATAATCTGAGTCTTGCAGGTGAAAAGAAGAGGTGGACGCGTAGGAGTCGAGTACCGTTTGTTTCATGTGCTCGTCCAGTCTCCTGAGAGCTTCCTGTTCTCCTCCTGGAAACAGCTCCTCTCCTAGAGATGTGGTGTTCAGGCCGAGCTCCTCTAATGTAGGAATCCCATACTTCGCCTCATGTTTGTCTGAGAATGGTGTCTTAATGTCTAAAATAAGAAAACTAACTTAACCTCTAATAAAATGTCACAATTCTGGTTTCAGTGTTGGTTATGTACCTTTCATGTCTGCGGAGGTTGGAGAAGGGATTGGTTTTTTAGGTGGGCCAAGCTTCTTGGCTAGTTCTCGCAAACGATTGTAGGTAAGAGGAGGTTTCCCGTCATTTTCCTCGATTAACCTACGAACACAGACCACAAAAGTAAAATGCAGGACACAGGAGAACAACTAAATAGACAATACAGACACTCAGCGTGACACGTACCTGTCTATGTCATAAAGGGTGTGGGAAATTTTGTAGATGACACGCACTCCGTGGTTTTGGGCCAGTGCGGTCACCGTTTTGTCGCGGCTCAGACTGTAGGGCTCTGTGTCGTACTCGTAAGTCAGCTGTGTTACCTTCCACTTTATGAAGAGTTCTGGGAACACATCCTCAGGCTTCCCCTTCAGGACGAACAGCCTGAAGGAGCAAAAACACGCCAGTGAGTTTTATTCAGCCTTGCATTAGTTTTAAAATCATCATCACAAGGTTTATAGTAGCGATAGCAGTCGTTTATTTTCATAAGAACGTGGTCTCTGTGTTTTTACCTAGAGTTGAGTTTCCTCAGGCTGCAGTCCAAGTCTTTCAGTGCTCCAATGAGAAACCTCCAGTAGTTCAGGCCCACTCGAGCGTTATAGACATAAGGGTCCAGGATAAAAACAGGGTACAGCTCCTTACAGTCTCTCAGAGCAGCTATCAGTGCTGGGTTGTCGTGCAGCCTGAGCCCCTTGCGGAACCAGTGAATACATATATGAGCCATGTCTGAGAATCTGTGAACATACATGTAACATTGTTATCAGCATCATGTAAAAGAAGAGGTGAGAACATGTTTATTTCTATAGGCTTGTGTTAAAGCCTAACAATAATTCGAAATATGGAAATATGGACTTTATATATTTTAATTAAGCATTGAAACAATCAGAAAAGCTGGGAAGCTCTAAATATACAATAAAAATGACCATCACATCAATAATAAATAGTGAAAATTATAACTTCGCTGGTACCTTCATAGTATATTGCAAATAAAACATCTGACTAAATCTAATATGCTCCACACAAAAGTTCAAGGTATCAATTATTATAGTACATAAACTCAAGGAGCTGTCAACTCTGAGCACAGCTCACGAAAAGTCTCAGACATAACAGCGAATAAGTTGCATGTAAAATTTTGTAAGCTATTAAAACCAAACGTTACCCTTTCTGAGTCTTTAAACACCTATTATCCACTCTGATGCTGTTTTGTAAATGGCAAAATGCTACGTTTGGTAACAGCCACGTTCGCTGTTACAAAACAAAACCGCTATGACGTCGGTGGCCAAATCAGCCAATCAGAAGAGAGCAGGCGGATCTGCTGCACTTTGACATCTTGACCACCAGATGTCAGTGTGGGCTAATAATCGAGATGAAGTCTTTATATTTAACAAGCGTGTAACTATCAGCGGTTATATAAACGTATTTTGAAGACTTCCGATGCAGTAGTAAAAGAAATAGGTAATTATTTAGCCACAAACTAGCAAAGCGAAAATAATCAATGGACTATTGTTACTGCGCACTAAAGACATGGATAAGTTCCAGAGTAGTATCCATCAGCTCATCGTAGCTCGCCGTGATCGTATAGTGGTTAGTACTCTGCGTTGTGGCCGCAGCAACCCCGGTTCGAATCCGGGTCACGGCATTGCGAAACAATGTCACGGCAGATGAGTTTCTTTTTTAATTCCCATTAAAAATGAAATATATTTTGTTTTTTATTGGTCAAAACTATCTGGAACGATTAATTAATAGCCAGCTGTAATATAGCTACACAGACACCACCGTGAGTGACACGTGCTTTTGTTATTGAATTCAGTTCTCAGTTAAATTTACAAAAATAGCGGAGTTTTCACCTCCACCACCCTTTCACTGATGTTTGCCACATACATACATAAAAATGTATATGTTGTGTCTGTCTAAAACAGGTCTCTCTTGAAAAGGAGTCCTCTCGAGACAGACTGCCTGCAATATGCTGTATATATATGTGATTCCACCAGGTGGAGACATTGTTCAGAAAAACTGGAAACACTTTTTTTTTTTTTTTTTTAACAGGTTTGGAAGCACACACAAAGTGCAGTTAGTTGGAAAATGTCACAAAGACTAGTAAAAAAATACAGCAAGTAAAAACTGCACAATATCTCCTATCAGTGGAAAACGTTTCATTTAATTTTTCCACCAGGTACCACTGTTGTGTTTTAACACCTACAGAAATGGCTGAAGTGATTGAATATAGGTCAGTGGAGGTCCAAGCTGTTAAAGATGGACAAGTCCAATGATTTGGAAGTACCTATTGGTATGCATTTCTACTTAGATTTATTAAATAAATCATTAATCCATACATTATTTTTACCCACTTCTTCCTTTCTGGGTCGCAGAGGTCACTGATGATCCAGCTGTCACTGTGGGAGATGCAGGGGACACCCTGGACATGTCTCCAGTCCATCACAAGGACAGAGACAAACGAGACAAACAACATTCACTCGCTCACTCACACCTAGGGACAATTTAGAGTTACCAATCAGCCTAACATGCATGTTTTTGGTCTGTGGGAGGAAACCGGAGTACCCGGAGAAAGCCCACACCTAGGGACAATTTAGAGTTACCAATCAGCCTAACATGCATGTTTTTGGTCTGTGGGAAGAAACCGGAGTACCCCGTGTGTCACCTGAGCAGAGAGAAAGCATGGCCGATCAAGTTTGAGACACGTGGCTATGATTCCATGAAAAGAATAGTACCACAGGGCAGCTTGTACACGTACAGGCAGCATGTGCGCCGTGTGTTAAATATTGAGGTGGACTGTCAGTATGTATTACAGCCATGGCAGCATTCGGCAAAAACTTTATGGCTTTCAATATTTTAAATAATTTTAAATAATTTGGGCTTTGGGGAATTAATTAAATCCTAAAATGGTCCAAAACTCTCAGTTAACAAATATTGCTTGTACTATCAAATAATCATAATGAGAATATTTGCATGTAAAAATTACACTCGCCGTATGCTGCTGTCCTCACAACACATGACGATGTGAAGACAGCTAGCGAACAAAATAAACAAAGTCCTCAGTCTAGGCTTGCCGTCTTGATTTTACTGAAGATCTTTTATTTAGGACTTTTTAACTGAAAAATACAGAAAGCGGAAACTAAATTACTAATGCACGTCTCGTCACATAAACACCCCACACTTAAATAATAAGCTTCAGGTGTCTCACTCTGATTGGGATTCAAACCCAAAGCATTTCAACAGGTTTTATAATAAATTTACTTAAATGAATAATTAACCATGAACTTATTTATCACCTTATTTACCCGTATTTTTCTGCCTATAAGTCGTGTGGGGTTTTTTTTTTGGTTTGTTTTTTTGCATAATTTGCATGTCCTGCGACTTACAGTATACGCCGAAGCAACTTATTTATGGATTTTTTTAACCATTTTTATAAACCAATTTTTGGCTGAGATATGACTGTTTTCACTCATTCTGACTGAAAATATTGAACACTACCATTTTCAGCCACTAAATGGCAGTTGTGATATATGGCATGCCATTGTGTCCTGTAATAGGTAAAAAAAAACGTGGCTATTAATGACACAATCGGCTTGCCACAGCCTGCCAACTTGCTTGGAGCAACCGTCAAATCATCTTCATTTCACTGCGCAGCCCCGGCAAAATGCAGCTAATTTGACCACAGAAGTGCATTTATTAAGTAAAAGTGAGAAAGAGATGGATGGATGGATTGGCAGACTGGGGTGGTGGCAAGGGCGTCAGAAGCATCCGTAATGTGTGTGTGGGTGGGGGGGGGGACTTAATTATGTGTGTATGTGTGTGCACGTGCGTGCGCGCAAAAGAAGTGTACACTAATGTACAAAAAAAGCAACATTTCCCCTAGATTTCCTTTAATTCCACACATTTAAAACATGTTTCTCACCAAGTTTGTGTAAATTCAGCTGTGGGTTTTAGAGACATTTTATCTTTAATACACTTTAATACAGAGCGCCAGGTCTGCGCTATTTGTGTTTATAGAGAAATAAAAAAACATCACCACTAGACTTTTTTACTTGTGTTCAACACTACTCATCTAAAGGAAGTTTCTCACGAAGCTCGAGGACAATAAAGTGTGGGGTTTTAAAGACATTTCAACTTGAATGCACCTGAACACAGTGTCTCTTACACCTGCAGCATCTTACAGCATCAGTTACTGCTAAGCTAAGATGCTACAGACATAGCGCTGCACTCAAGCATCCTCCTAACATGAATGTATGTTGATGATCAACCCCCGTTCAACAACTGCCCGCACTAAGAGCGCTTAACTGGCGAGTGAGCAACTCAGAGGTGTCTCCATCTCCTGCACCTGCGCTTTTACTGCCGAAGCAGGAGACGCAGCAGCTGCTGCCTGCACAGTTTTTGCTCTGTGTGTAACCTGGAAAACCTGGAGTGGAGTTTTAGTAGCTTGAGTATTCTCCTATTAATCAAGTGGAATGGATTTGTTCAAGAAGAAAGAGAAACTGCGCCGCCTGAACTAATGTTTCATAGTAAAAGTGGGGAGGTCCAAATGAACGTTTTTTTAATGTGTGTGTGTGTGGGGGGGGGGACTTGTCCCCTTCACATATAATGGTTGCGACGCCTATGGGTGGTGGTCGCCCTATTCAAAAAGGGGGACCGTAGAGTGTGTTCCAACTACAGCGGGATCATGTTCTTAAGCCTCCCTGGTAAGATCTATTCTGTGGGGTTCTGGAGAGGAGGGTCCGTCGGATAGTCGAACCTCAGATTCAGAAGGAGCAGTGCAGTTTTTGTCCTGATCATGGAACACTGGACCAGCTCTACACTCTCAGCAGGGTCCTGGAGGTTGCGTGGGAGTTTGCCCAACCAGTCTACATGTGCTTTGTGGACTTGGAGAAGGCATTTGACCGCGTCCCTCAGGGAGCCCTGTGGAGGGTACTCCAGGAATTTGGGGTACCAGGCCCTTTGATACGGGCTGTTAGGTCCCTGTATGACCGATGTCAGAGCCTGATCCGCATTGCCGGCAGGAACTCAGTCTCGTTCCCAGTGAGAATTGGACTCCGCCAAGGTTGTCCTTTGTCACCGATTCTGTTCATAACTTTTATGGACAGAATTTCTAGGTGCAGCCAAGGTGTTGAGGGGATCCGTTTTGGTGGCCTTTGGATCGCTTCTCTGTTTTTTGCAGATGATGTGATCCTATTGGCTTCATCAGGTCGTGATCTACAGCTTTCGCTGGAGCGGGTTCGCAGCCGAGTGTGACGCGGCCGGGATGAAGATCAGTTCCTCCAAGTCCGAGGCCATGGTCTTGAGCCGGAAAAGGGTAGCGTGCCCTCTCCGGGTCAGGGAGGAGGTCCTGCCCCAAGTGGAGGAGTTCAAGTATCTTGGGGTCTTGTTCACGAACAAGGGAAAAGTGGAGCGTGAGATCAATAGGCGGATAGGTGCAGCGTCGACAGTGAAGCGAGCGCAGTACAGGTCTGTTGTGGTGAAGAGAGAGCTGAGTCAAAAGGCAAAGCTCTCTATTTACCGGTTGATCTATGTTCCTACCCTCATCTATGGTCATGAGCTTTGGGTTGTGACCGAAAGAACGAGATCTCGGATACAGGCGGCCGAAATGAGTTTTCTCCGCATGGTATCTGGGCTCTCCCTTAGAGATAGGGTGAGAAGCTCGATCATCCAGAGAGGGACTCAGAGTAGAGCCGCTGCTTCTCCACGTCGAGAGGAGTCAGTTGAGGTGGCTCGGGCATCTGGTTACTGGTTATCTGGGAGGAGGCCCAGAGGAAGACCCAGGACACACCGGAGAGACTATGTTTCTCGGCTGGCCTGGGAACGCCTCGGGATTCCCCCGGAGGAGCTGGACCAAATGGCTGGGAGAGGGAAGTCTGGGCCTCCTTACTTATGCTGCTACCCCCACGACCCGACCCCGGATAAGCTGAAGAAAATGGATGGATGGAGACAGAGACACACCTTTACTTTAATTTTGAGCAAACAAATAATTGTTTTTAAGTGTTAATCTTATTAAATTCTTGTTAAAGTCCTCCCATGCACACTGCCACGATTGCCATTTGGCAGCCAATCACTTTTTGGCACAACACCGGCCCACATTTCCGGGTTGTCAGCAGTGATGTATTATAGATAGTATACGGTGAAGTAACATATTTATGGATTTTTCCACTTTACTAGACATATTTGGACTGATGTGACTTTTAGGGCGGTGCGACGTGTACAGCAGAAAATATGGTAACTTACTCAAGTGATGAACTTATTACTGTTTTTGAAGACAGCACAATGGAGTTCTGTAATATGCACCCAACCCTTTGATATAGTTTTACTTGTTTTACTCAATCATTTTGTGTTTAGCAGAACATTTACTTAATTTCCACCTAAACGTCCTCTCTTGTCTGCCATAGTTGGGTGCCCAGCCTCGGTCACATGACTCAAGCTTGGGTTTGGGTGGATTCAGCCTTGTGCTTTGTTTACAATGAGTGCATACCCACATTTCAGAAATGCACACGAACATATCTGGAAGAAAAAGGTTTAAACTCAAACTGCATCATTTGATATATCAAAATAACTTTTTTTATTCATAGTTTTCAGGATCTAAAATGGTGTAACACCAACATTCCCTCTGAATAGAGTTTGAATATGGTGATGAAGTCCTCAATAAACCACAAAGTGTCTGCTGTGATTTGTTAAAGCTGTGTTTTCTTATGCGTGTGCACAGTGGATACCGTCACGACGCTCAGCAGCCTATCGGCATTTCTCCTTCTGTCGCTGTGTCCCTGAACGCAACATCGCGCTGACAGACTCGTCATTCAGCTCCGGGTCTGACCAGCAGCCCTGGGGGGCATGACAAAGGCTGAGGGGACGTAGTGAGGAGGTGTGGTGAGGAGGGAGGGGGGGTGACAGAGTAACCTGAGCACAGGGAGCATCAGCAGCATCTCTGCTGCTCATCCTGCTGATTGAACGATGCGCCACCGCCGCCTGCCGCGGACCAGGTGTCCGAGCGCAGAGCCCGGACGCGGTTAACGTGACAGAAGGTCAGCCCGAATCTATGAGCTGCGCGCACGCGCCTCTTCTGGTCCCGTTCAGCAGACGAGCGAGAAGATGCTGAGCCGCCTGATGAGCAGCAGCATCAGGAGTCTGGACAGGGAGTACAACTGCACCGTGAGGCTGCTGGACGACTCGGAGTACACCTGCACCATCCAGGTCAGTGCACGGGAGCCATGCTTGTGCGCGCGCGCGTGTGTGCGTGTTTTAATGGGGGCAGCAATCAGCTCATCCTGCTTGTTGTCAGCTTGACAAATGTTTTTTGTTTTTTTTTAATAAGAGGCTGCAGATGTTCAGAGGTTTACCTGTGAGGACGTGCCAGCACCGTGACCTCATGTGGTGCGTGCACTGCGCAGCAAGGATTACCACACAGCGCATGCCAGCAGAGAGAATCACCCTAAAATATACAGTGATGTGTAAGCTGTTTTCAGTTTGACAGCTTTACGTGTTTTGGATGCAGAAGATAATCGGGTTCTGTGGCTTAGTGAGGATTTCTGGATGTTCTGCACGAGGCAGGTTCTGGAGAGGAGCCACAGAACGTTGTTTATCACAGGAGCTCCCAGATGATGTTTATAAAGCAGGTGTTTCTGACTCTCTGACCCCGGGGGGCATGCTGCAGAGATGAGTGAACTTCACCTTCAGTTATAGTTTGTCACATAAAAAAAAACAAAAAAACATATGTTTTCATCAGATGCAGGTCCATATAGCTGCTGAAAGATGCACATTGAAAAGCAATGATTTATACATTATGAACCTAAGATGTTGTTTCAGCTCATATCATACAACATAAACATTTAAGATGTGAATATTGTTGGCAATAAAAGATAAATAAAATAAAATAAAAGATGTTAAATCCAACTGGTGTCAACTGTTGAGTGCAGTCATGGGGAAAACGGATAAGATTAAAAAAATAATAATAATAATATTTGAAAAAATAGTGGAAAATTAAAAAAAAAGTTATTTAATTGTAGATTGAACCATATTTTGCTTTTTTCTTTGTAACATGCATATATCATTTAACAAGCAGCATGGTGGCTCAGCTGAGACGGTCGCTGGATCAACTCCCAGCTGGGGACCTTTCTGATTGGAGTTTGCATGTTCTCTCCGTGCATGCGTGGGATTTTGGGCACTCCGGTTTCCTCCCACAGACCAAAAACATGCATGTTAGGCTGATTGTTAACTCTTTGAGGCGACAGCTTTAACTTCTCCACCGCACCACCAACCTGGAAATATTGTTCACAAAAGTAAAATGTGCAAAACAAAGCTGGACACCTGACGTGTCTGATCCCTCACTAAAGTAGGAACTTTTAGTCCCCATTATGGCATCAGCTAATAACTTTGGCAAACCTTTGTCAGGTTCTGCAGCACAAAGTTTTGCTCATTATTGATTTTTTTATGAGCAAATTGTCTAGATGGAGCCTTTGACATCTGAGCTTGGAGGCGTTTAGTGGACCAAAACAAAAGTGAGTTCAGCAGTGGTGAGGTTACCCTCTTTTTCGGGGTTCTCAAGCACCCCTAAATTTTAACTCAGCACTCCTGAAAAATTAAGTAAAATTTTTAAATTATTTATTTTTTGGCAGTTCTGGGTTTGGATTTTCTGTTTATTGCATTTATGATTCAATGCAACAGAACAGACAAATTAAAAAAGGTAACAGATCATTGTAATACTTGGTTTATTTACATAATGACTAATTGCTGGATGTTCGGCCCCTGAACTTTCAGTAACCGTGCCCTCCTGAGCAGTTTAGTTGAATAGTCCTGCTTTAGAGGGTGGAACACAGTTTATTTCATTTCCAAAACTAAACAAAGTTTTGAAAAATGTAAAAGATGATACAGCCCTTCGGTTGACCTCATGATCAGCTGAATACAACAGTGATAAACAGGAAGTACCACATGTTCACCTGTATGAAGGTAACTGCAGGTAAATCCTCCATTTTCTATCATAAGTACATCGTATTCTTAATGGTTAAATTAAAAGTTAATGCTTAAAGATAGTTGTGCTTATTTTGTGTATTTTGTATATAGATATATGTTGCAACTTTCTGGTTGCATAGATTTAGTCTTTGCTTGTTATGATCAGTAAACACTAAACTGATTTTGTACAAAGTGTTTATTAGGTTGTGTAATGTAAATCAACGCGCTACGTCTGTATCATCTTAGCTAGCGCGTCTGTATTGATGCCTCTAGCTTAGCGCTACTTGTTGTGCCGAGCTCGAAAATAGTTGTTGAATCAAGTGTTTAATTATGGAGGTAAACGTAGATGTTTAACAACCCATTAAAATACACCAGAATGCAGGAAATAGCATCTACCAGTACTTTATTCAAAAATTTCAGGGGGAGACTGTTCTGAATTGAATTGATCTTTGTTGGTTAGCAGTGCTCATGTGTAAACTCCAGCTCGGTTGCAGCATTAGCCAGAGAGACTAATAAACTCAAACTTATGATGCTACATAAGTGTCATGCTTTATAATGGATTATGGTACTGGTTTGATCATTCCACAGATCAAGAAACATAATCTTGCCTGTCGATCTTCTTCTCCTGTGGTGGGCAACACAAGATAACCAATCAGAATAAAACAAACATGTTTGAAGAAGAAGATTTCTTTATTTTTCATTGGATAAGGAGGTCATAGTCAGTGATAGTAACAATACACAAATGACAGATAAAAGTTGATTAGATGATTAGCCATGAATGTATTTAGACCACAATGCATCACTTTGAGCAGGTGCATTAACTGTAAAAAAAAAAGTCACAAGATAATGTGCTGTTATATTTTAAAATAAAAACTTTTAGCCAGTGACATTGCTGCGGTTATTACCATTCCTGTGATGAAGAAATTAATTTAGAAAGTATAATAAAAACTTAAAGCAACATAGACAACATAGACTACTGTGCTCCCTTCTCTTTGGAACTTCATGCATTTTTAATAATAAGACAAATAAAGGAATTTGTTGGAGCCCATGAAAAATTTCCATCATTATTTTTCATTTCTATGTATTTGCAACCAGCCTTATTACTGCACTAGTTTCTAGCAGGAGAATAGATTTTGTAGAAAAGAAAACATGCCTCGGGTGTATCAGAGGGCTATACTGTTGTAGCTGATGTGTGGCATAAAAGGAAAATGAACCTTGTTCTTTTGTACGGTAATTTGCCTTTTGACACTAGTTTAAAGTTCCGATGAGCAATATTTCAAACTTTAATGCGGCATAAGATTCAGCAGAATGTGCAGCAGCTCTTCCTCTGTTTGAAAATGCAGTCTGTGCATGAACATGCAAGATTTGAGCTTTTCCTCTTCATGTTTGACTAAGACTCTCAGACAAGAGTCAAACTCTAAACTGGACTGTTTTATCCATCCATCCATTATATTTTACCCGTTTCTTCCATTTTTGGGTCATGGGGGTTGCCAGTGCCCATATCCAGCAGTCACTGTGCGAGGGGCGGGGTACACGCTGGACGGGTTGCAAGTCCATCACAGGGACACATAGAGACAAACGAGACAAACAACCATTCACTCTCTCACTCACACCTAGGGACAATTTAGAGTTACCAATCAGCCTAACATGCATGTTTTTGGTCTGTGGGAGGAAACCGGAGTACCCGGAGAAAACCCACGCATGCACGGAGAGAACATGCAAACTCCACCCAGAAAGGCCCACGGACCAGGGTTTGAACCAGGGACCTGCTTGCTGAGAGGCAGCAGCTCTACCAGTTGCACCACCGTGCTGTTTTATCAGAAGAATATTAATATGTTGTTTGAAAGGCTTCTCCTGGGTTTTGACAGGTCTGTATTTGAGCTGAGCTGCTGCTTGTTGGTTGACTCCTTGCCTCCTTTTCAGCTAAATTGGTTAATCATGTTTTTTATTGGTAAATGGCAAATGAAGTGTACTTATATAGCACCTTTCTTTCTTATCAAGATACTCAAAGCATTTTACACTACAATCTGTGTCCTCGTGTACCCATTCAGCACTCTACTAGAGCTCTACAAAGACTAATCAGTGCTTATATAATATTCATACACCGATGGGACACACATCGGAGGCAATGAAGGGTTCAGTGTCTTGCCCAGGGACACTTCAGCATGGGACTGCTGGTGGAATCAAACCCCCAACTCTTCCATTGGAGGACAACTGCTCTAGCTACTAAGCCACAGCTGTCCCATGTTGTGACAACAGCAGTCTTGCAGGCTGCCAGTCCTTCACTACCCAGCAGATTAAGTTGAATCTTTTCTCTTTCTTATATTTGGGATTGTCTCTGTTGTCATATTGACATGAATATGGGAGATAGAATCAGGTAAAAAGCTGTTTGAGTATAAAAGCACCAGAGTGATTGGTTGTGATTAATTAATAATTAAGTCCTTTATAAAAACAAGTGGGTGAGCATCTTAGGTGAGACAGCTCCGCAGCAGGAGCTGTGTTTGATGCTCGCTACCTGAAGGGATTCCAGCGCTGCTGAATCAGAGAGGACAGCACTTAAAGGCCATCAACACCTGCACATTTCGAGGAAATGACGGCAGAGGCAAAGCGAGCTTTTCTCACATTTGACAGTGTCAAGTGTTGCTCTTTGGAAGAAGCGAGAAAAAAAGTTGACTCTGACTGTCTTGGATGTTTTTGTCCTCTTTGTGTTTGTAAATGGATTAAAAAAAACAGCAGCTCTGCCAACAAGTATTGAGTAAAATGTTTTGTTGCTGGCCTCTCATTCATTTTCTTTACCTGCTGTTTCCTTGCTGGGTTGTGGGGTCACGAGTCCATCATACATCTAGGGACAATTTTTAGTGTTCCCATATAACCTAACATGCAGGTTTTGGGTCTGTGGGAGGAAACTGGAGTCTGTGGGATGAAACTGGAGTACCCAGAGAAAACCCGCACACGATTGCAACCATACCCAGATAAAAGGACAAATGAGAACAGAGACCAAGACTCAGAATTTACAGTGTTTATTTACAAAGTGAGAAATAATGCAATAAGCCAGGGAGGGTACTGGAACCCTGAGGAGCAAAGAGGTGGGTTATAGTTCTTCTAGTCACGGATGATAATGTTATTACTGGTTTTCCTTACAATGGAGGATGGGGTCAGACATGAGAGTTGACCCAAATGGTTCCAGGTGAAGGAGGTGCTTGTGGTGGGAAGGCACGGAGGCAGCTGATCAGGCACAGAGGAGC